TCATAACGTTTACCATCATAACCATTTTAAGTGCATAGTTCAGTAGTACTAAGTACATTCACATTGTTGTGCAATCGCCGTCATCCATTCCTACTCTTTGTTGTGCAATTGCCATCATCTATTTAATCTGAGTCTCTATCCCCATTAAACAACAATTCTCCCTCCCCCTCCCTCAGTCCCTGGCACCCACCATCTACTTTCTGTCTCTATGGATCTGACTCCTCTACCACCTCATATAAGTGGAGTCTCACAGTATTTGTCCTTTCTGTCTGGCTTAATGTCCCCAAGGTTCATCCATGTTGTGGTAGGTATCAGAACTAATGATAAGTTTTCATTCAAACATAAAAAGAAGCAGATGGAAGCTTTGCTGGGCTTTGGAGGGAGCTCACTGCCACTCACTAAGTTTGCCTGGTGTCACTTCCTCCAGGAAGCCTTGCCTGAGCCCAGATGAGATTAGCACTTTTCCTTCTGACCTTCTCCAAGGCAGTTTTTGTTCCCATGATTTTATTTATTTATTTTACTTTTTTGTGTTGTCTTTTTAAATTGAAATTTTATTTATTTATTTATTTATTTTGAGAGTACATTTATTAAAGCTGAGGACAGTGAAACAAAGAAGGGCTTAGGATAAAAGAAGCAACAGGAGGGGGCCTAGCTGGGGCTGCTTTGGCTCACTAGAAATGTTATAGAAAAGAAATTAGCTTAGGAGGACCGCTTTGGCTCACTGGAAAGTCAAAGGGGGCCTTGGGGACAGGTTCAGGGGGTTGGCCCGGGAGGAAATGCCACTATTCATTGCTCCCCTGGTTGCAAGTCTCATGGGGACCCTTTAGGAGATGTGCACCTGAGAGGGAAGAAAGGCATAGGTGTGCTCCCTGGAGGGAGAGCAAGCTATTGTGTTTTAACATTTTATTTTTAATTATAGTTGACATAGAGTATTATATTAGTTTCAGGTGTATAACATCGTGATTCAATATTTATGTGCTTTACACAAAGTGATCATTACAACAAGTCTAGTAGCATAGTTATTACAATATTATTGACTGTATTCCCTGTGCTGTACACTACATCCCTGTGACTTATTTTATAACTGGGAGTTTGTACTTCTTAATCCCCTTACCCTTTTCTACCCATTCCCTCACTCCAGTCCCCTCTGGCAACCATTAGTTCAGCGGTTCTCAACCTGTGGGTCGCAACCCCTTTGGGGGTCGAACGACCCTTTCACAGGGGTCGCCTAAGACCATCGGAAAACACATATATAATTACATATTGTTTTTGTGATTAATCACTATGCTTTAATTATGTTCAATTTGTAACAATGAAAATACATCCTGCATATCAGATATTTACATTACGATTCATAACAGTAGCAAAATTACAGTTATGAAGTAGCAACGAAAATAATTTTATGGTTGGGGGTCACCACAACATGAGGAACTGTATTAAAGGGTCGCGGCATTAGGAAGGTTGAGAACCACTGCATTAGTTTGTTCTCTGTATTTATGAATTTTTGTGTTGTTTTATTTGTTCATTTATTTTGTTCTTTAGACTCCACATACATGTATAAGTAAAATCATATGGTATTTGTCTTTGTCTGTCTGACTTACTTCACTTAGCATAATACCCTCTACATTGTTGCAAATGGTAAGATTTCATTTTTTATGGTTGAGTAATATTCCATTATATATATGCAGCACATCTTCTTTATCCATCTCTCTGTTAGTGGACACCTAGACTGCTTCCATGTCTTGGCTATCTATACTAATAAAAGGGTAATATGCTAATTAGGGTGGACATCCATCCGGAGAAAGCTTGCACCCCCACTGGCCTGATTGCCCCTCGCTGCTCCCCCACTGGCCTGATGGCCCCTAACTGCTCCACTGCCTGCCTGATGGCCCCTACCCTCCTCTGCCTCAGCCCGCCACTGGGCTGGAATCACCTGGGACCCTTTAGTCTGTAGGCTGATGCTCTATCCAGAGTCAAACTAGCTAGGGCTCCCCTCTGCTTCTTTTTAAAAATTTACATATATTTTTATTGATTTCAGAGAGGAAGGGAGAGGAAGAGAGAGATAGAAACAGCCTATATAATAAAAGGCTAATATGCAAATCAATTGCATAATGACTGGTTGCTATGACATGCACTGACCACCAGGGGGCAGATGTTCAATGCAGGAGCTGACCCTGGTGGTCAGTGCACTCAGCAGGGCTTGCCAGTGGGCTCATGGCTGGTGAGCACAGCAGAGGTGGCGGGAGCCTCTCTCGCCTGCCTCCAAGGCAGTGCTAAGGAGCAGCGAGTCCAGCTTCAGAAGCCGGGCTCACAGCTGGTGAGCGCAGCGGTGGTGGCAGCAGCCTTTCCCACCTCCACAGCAGGCAGACACCCCCCGAGAGGTCCTGGACTGCAAGAGGGCGCAGGCCGGGCTGCGGGACCTCCCTCCCAGTGCACGAATGTTGTGCACCAGGCCTCTTTTTTTTTTTGCTTTATTTATTTATTTTTTTATTGATTAAGATATTACATCTGTGTCCTTATCCCCACGTTATCCCCTACCCCCCCTCCCTCATTCCCCCCCGTTGTCCATGTCCATTGGTTAGGCCTATATGCTTGCATATAAGTCCTTTGGTTGATCTCTC